ATGCGCAAAAATTCATTGTGCAGAAAAAGTTGCTGAAAACGAGCAAAAGAAATGAAAAAGAAAAACTTTACCTGCCGACGGCTGTTGTTTTTTGCTCTTGGCGGCGCCGTAAATGGGGGCGTGCCAGGCAAAAAGTGTATTAAAAGTATGGAAATGTTTGCCACACACAGCTGTGCTCAGCTGCTTGGAAACGGCAGCCAACAAGAACAAGAACAAGAATAACAGCAACCGCAACATAAAGCGACGAGACATTTTATTAGGAGTAGGGGTAGGCATAATGCCAGAACATGCCCCATCCTGCCCCACCGCCCATCAAAATAAACAGACAGCCTGTGGCGTGCGCCTCCCTTTTTTTTAATGATACCCTTGCAGAGTATATTATGAGTTTGTCATACGATGTGACACATATTGAAGCCGACCTTCTTGTCGATTCTAGAAGGGTTTACTTGAAGGCTAGGCAGTATTTATTTTCTTATTTATTTATTTTTGTAATTAAATTCAATTAGTTTTTATTTAAAATTACAAAACGGATTTATCAGATTTCAAAATCTGAAAAGGCCACATAAGAATTTTAAGTCCATTTAAAAAACACCAATCTATACATTAAAAAAAAATTGTTATTTCAGTCGAATTTTGTTTACTAAGTCGCCAACCTTGTCATGCAAAAGATTTATTTCGCTTAAAGAATTTACTAAATAATTGTCTTCGTCACAAATTGAAATTCCTTTGGTCGTAAATTACCTATGAATTATGAGTATTTTCTTACTTTCTTACTTTATTATGCCAAAAGGCACAATTTGATATCGACGAGAAAAGTTCTTGGGTTATCTTGCAGGGTATTTTAGAGCGAGCATAAGGAAAATAACTCTTCTGTTTGGCTTTTGCGGTTGCCGTCGTTTTATGTGGTTTCTCTTGTTATTTTATTTGTTGGGAAATTTCAACAAAATTAAGCATAAAATATTAAAACTTTAACAACCAATTTTTTTTCTCTTATTTTTTTTTTGGCATAGTCGACTTTAAGGCGAATTTCTATGCGTTCTAAGCATTTAAATTTGCATTTTATTGCAATTTGCTTCATATTTGCTGGCAGTTGTTGCTGCTATGCTGCTTGTTGTTCTAGTTGTTGTTGTTCTTGTTGTACACTGCGCACACATAAATTCTTGTTTTATGTTATTTTATGCATTTGGCTTTTATTACCAATTTGCCTTTAGACAGAGGGACACAGCCAACTCCAACAGCCCGCGTTGATTCCATTACCATTTTAAGGTATCTCAATGCGCATGCTATTTCCCTTTTTCGGCAAGGGGATGCTGGCCTTGTTAAACAAATGATAATTTATGCAAATGTCTCTAGTAGGAGCTGCGTAAAAAAAGAAAGCAAGAAAAGAAAAATATATAAATGCTGAGGGTTGCACAAGTCGCAGGCCATTCAGAGGGTAACCCAAAAATTGTCTTTTAGTTTGTTGTTTTTTCTCAGCGAAGTGTGTTTTTCTTCATGCTTACTCTGTTTTCTTTGTTGTTCCAATTCTCTTTTTTATATTTTTTGTGCTGACATGCTTTTGTCATTTATTTTGTTTATCTCTGTGCGCTTTGCTTTTTATAACAAATTATTATTATGTTTTATTGTAAGGCTGTCGTTTGCTGAGGCCAGCAATTTCTTTTACGCATTTACTCACTTGCCTCAGGCCCTGCAAATCACAACCAACACACACTCACTTACACACACACACACACAAACTGACACACACATATCCTGCAAGCGGCCATTCTTGACCTGACATTTTCCCTTTTCTTCGTTTTTTTTTTGCTTGGCCTTTATTTTCTTAGGCTTGCATTTGAGTAATGAGCTGCTTATCCGACAAAAGGTATTCTTCATTCTGTTCGCTTTTTTCGACGCTTAATGATACAATTTGACTTTTTTCTTGTTCGCGTTGTTATCATTAATGAACAGCAAGTACTGATGTTCTTGGGTTCCTGTATGGTGTTCATAGGTATTCAAGGTGGGGATAATGTTAGCCGAGCTAAGAAAAAATTGGATTCATTTAAATAAATGAAGTAAGTAGGCAGCTTTGGCCTGAAATCCGAAAAGATTTATCGGATTAAGTGTTGCTAGTATTTTAATCCGTATATTCACTTTATTCTTGTGATCATTTTTAATTTACTGAGAAGTTATCTTGGTTTTCTATGAGATTCACCATGAACATAAATCTCAGAAGCAAATCGTCGCTAAATCTATGTTTAATTCAGTGTGCATTTTCCTGCTTTCTTTTTATCCAATTTTTTATGGCTTAAAATCCTTATTATAATATTATTCAAATATGTAATATATTTTTTTTAAGAATTTCGAGCAATTTCCGTTGTTCCACTTTCTGTATTTAACAGTTGTTCGCTGGCTATATACCTTGACCACCATTTAATTCTAGTCCCCGCAATCTCTGAGACATTAAGTTTTTTCATTATACTCTCTTTTTATCGCTTGTGGGCTTTAAGGCAAAGCCGAATGCGGCCAAGGGAACCAGAGTTTTGGACAAAAAACGCTACACAGTCGTTATAAACAGCTTAAGTTTATATTCAACACGCTTACATTGCTAAATTTTGCATTTCTAGAATCAAAAAACAGGAGTCTCAAACTTTAAGTGGAAAGTTTTTTGTTGAAAGCAATTGATGCATAAATAAACTGCAAATGTAGCTGGGGGCAACAAGAGGGGGTGGGCTGGTAAGGATGGAGCTAAAGCAGTGGCATGTAATAATTGTAATTTGGATGTGGAAACACTGTGAATATATGCCATGGAGTCGAAACCGAGAAACACGAGAAATAACAATCAGAAAGCATTTAGCAAGCAACTTTTGCGTTGTTCAAACTGCGGGAGGGCGAAACTAAAGCACAAGTAGCAAGTAGCAAGTAGCAACTGCCAAGTAGCAGGTGGCGCCCTCTGTTGTTATGGCTTCACATGTGGGTGGGGATGTATGTGAGGGTGTGGGTGTGTGGGTGCGTGTGTGTTGTTGCTGTTGCTGTGTGTGTACTTCCCCTTTTTACTTGTAATGTCAACGCATTGCCAGCAACTTTAACTAAAAGCAAAGGCAACAAAACAAGTCCTTTAACGATTAAACAACGACAGGAAAACCCATATAAGACCAAACTCCTCCACCCTCTACACATAAATCTGCTCTCTAGAGGGAGGGTTGTGTGTGTGTGTTTAGTAGCAATTTCAGTGTTTGACCTACTTAAGCAATTCCTGTGCATTTTTATTAAACACTCACTGGAGCTGGAGTCACTTATTTGACTGGCGCTTAATTGCTTAAAGCTGCTGCTGGGAAGAGATCGGAAAGCAAAGTCTTCCATCAAGTTGAAACTTCAAATATGTTTAATAATCTAAACGCATTACCAAAAACAGCAGCAGCCACTGTGCACACAAATGGCAAGAAGGCTCAAAGGCAGCTATCCAGACCAGACACACAGACGACTGTACAAACAACAACAAACATTTCGGGCAAACTGGGGAGCCACTTGAAGACCAACAACACAACGCTGGCAGTCACAAAAGCCTATTAAATAACATGGGTCTTACACATGCGTCCTCGACAGGCAAAGGGCAGGCAAAAGTTTTGCGCACAATTGCCAGGATAAAGCAGCACAAAGCAGCGGAAAGCAGTCATATGCATTTGTATGAAAATATGAAAATATTCATGGCGGCAGTGTGAGAATAAAAAGAGCAGATGAACGCATATAGACTGACATGAAAGAAAAGCTAGAAGAAAACTTGCATACAACCAAAATGGCAAAAAGTAAACAAATAAACATTCACACAGACAACTCTTAGAGTAGCAAAGATCCTAGCAACATACACTTGACTCAGGCTATCAAGCGTTGCATTAGAGATGGACGCGTGTTGCTCAATTACTTAATACGATGTAGAAACACTATAATTATAGCAGCTGTTGTCATTTAACAATAATTATTTAAATATTTCAATATATAATACAGCATACAGTAGTAGCCATGGAACACAAATATATATGTATATATATGTATTCCTTTTACTTAGCTATATCATATCTAATCGTGCCGGTTCGTGTCACGAAAGAGACGAAATGAAGACATATTTTGCTATAGCATATCTAATCGTGTCTGTTTGTGTCACGGAAGAGATGAAATGAAGACATCTCTTGCTGGTTATCTCTGGTTGTCTGCTTGTTAACTGAACACAAGAGTTCACCATTAAATCAACTAATGCCACACACACACACACTCACACTCACACATATACACAACCCTCTTAACTCAATGGGAGCATGGCTAGGTCTCACTTTAAGTAAGAAGCGACACACAGTGTGTCTGAGGACAATGTTTGTCATCTGTCCATGTGGCAGGACATTTGCATTTGTGTAAGACATTGAGTCCTTTGCTTGATAGTTTATTTTTGCGGAATCTCTGACTAAATTTAGAGGAAAATTGTATTATTTTAGAAACTCGTTCAAAATAAACTGCTCTTCTTGAAGATGTAGCTGTAAGTTTGTTGTGCACTTTACTGTCCACATGTCAAACCACTTGAGACCTGCTTCTGCCAGAGGAGAGAACGGGTGGTTCATGTAAAACATTTTACCTTTGAGTTGCACATAAATATTGTGAGTATCAATTTGTTCAATTTGTTCTTTGAATTGGTTACTTAACGTTGCAGAGGTTGCAAAAAATTAAACACAACTGATGCTTATGCAAAATTGTAAGGGCACAGGAAACAGACTTCCAATATTTATAAAGATTATAATATATTTGAAAGTATATCGCCTTTTTTAATATATTTTTTAAAGTTTACAAAGTTATGATTAAGTTACAGTTTTGTAAAGTCATTTCTGCTCACTACAAACTCTACAAATTACAAATACAAATTCTACAAATTCCTTTTGCTTTGTGTCAACTTGTCGGGTATATCAAATTGTAATTTGTACAGCTAAAACATAAATTGAACAAAATTTCTGACTCGGCGAATAAAAAAAAAATTCGGCCAAAGCCTACAATATAAAATGGAAAAGGACCTCGAATTTTTGATCAACTCATTGTCGCTGTCCGATTCACCGCTGTGGTCATCGTACAGCAAGGATCAGTTAATAGATATGCGGGAGTCCTTTGTCACGCTACAGCAGCTGTTACGCCACTATCCCAAAGATCTGGAGCAGGGGCCAAAGTATCCGGTGCGCGTCAAGGCTGGCGGCAATACGGTATATCAACCAAATGTCATAGAACTGTCAAGAACAAAAGTGCCTCAGATGAACTTGAAGTTGCACACCGAACCCAAATCGTCGATGACCTCGTTATCCAGTGATAGCAGCAGCAATATGGTCAGCAGCTCCCACTCTCTGACAAACGATGAGAAACAGGAGGTAGCCAGACAGGCCGATGATGAGACCAGTTCGACAGACAACTTCCTAGCGCTGGTGCCTTACCAGGAGCAGGATTCCAGCCAGGAGCTGGTACGCTATGAAAATGACGATTCCGATACGCTGTGTGCCAGTTCCAGCTCTGATTCTCTTCATGGTTTGGGGTCCGACTCGGGGGCCAGGTCCATTGGCAGCTCATCCGTCGGTGAAATCTCCTTCAGCATTGAACTGCCCATGGAGTATGTCTGGCATAACATTGACTACAAGGCGGAAAGCACGGATAGTGAAATGACCATCAAAGCGGATGGTTTTAAATATATTTTGAACAATTAACACAAGCAAACGTGATTGAAAACATCAGTATAATCATTAAATTAAAATGCATCGCTTGATTCTGCTTACAATTATATAAATATATATATAATTATTCACATATTTCCAACCTTCTCTGCGACTTGTAAAAGTGATTAAAAACAGAAATTTTAATTGAAAATGCTCACACTTGCGTAGGCAGTTGAGCATCCTTCCTCTAACGCTGTCATTCACGCACTCGGTGAGTGGAAATAAATGTTTACTGCCTGCGGTCATTTGTTCACTTGTCTGTTCGCCTGTCTGCGCCAGGCATAACTTCCTACAGTTTTTGAGGACTCAATGCTTCGGTGTATAATTACAATATTTTTGTTGTACCCTTTAATGCCTTGGTCTATTTTATATTCAATTATCGATAACGCAGATCTATATGTATCTATAAATACATCTTTTACTTAAATCATTGCTTTCATCGAGAATTTTATCTTTCAAGCTTAAACTAAGGAGAAACGAAAACTGAAATATGTTGTGTAAGCTTGAACACGTCGGAAAAAGTCTAGTCTAGATCAGAAATAATTAAAATGTGATCAAGTTATTTGCTTTTGTCGTTAAAGTACTAACGAGCAGCACATTTAAGTGGCCCAATGATACCAAGCACGGGCTTGTTAACGCACAGACCCAGGCAAAGTGCGACCCACCTCCTGCAGAACCGACCGAGGGGCGTACGAAGATCGCGAATTACTAGATAGATGACTTAACACAACAGTTTTAATAGAAGAAATAGAAGAAGCATAGCTTATTAATGGGAAAAGCACATTATAATTTGTGCATAAGATCCTAAATGGGTTCTGGATAGCATAATTTGAACTACAAGTTTGAGAGTTTGAAAGGCAGAAAATTCTCATCGGAACCGTTGGCTGATTAACTCAGAAGAATCAATCTAAACGCTTACATTACTTAAATAAACATTTAAAAAAGTTAAAATATTTATTTAGCTTACAAATATTCCATATTTTAGCTTGTTGTACAGCGTATTTTCTAGTCGAATATTCGGTTTATTTTTCTTTGGGTTTTTTGTCGAATATTTTCCTTTTTATTGAGGAGCATTTTGTGTGCGTGCGTGCTGCAATTTCCTTTTACCATCCATTCAAATTCACAGAGCGAAATAGACAAACAGACAGACAGAAAAGCGGACAAACCACTACCGAAAATTCTAATTTAATTTCGTATGAAATTTGCTGTGCTTATTGCCATCGCCATTGCGTATGGGGTTGATTGCTCTTTGCATAACGCTTAGAGAGGTTGGTGCGGTAGTGCTTGTAGTCTGCCTGCCACACAGGTGGTTGAGCTCCAAGCAATTTGCTTTCGCTTTTTGCTGCTTTTGATTTTCCATATGTTTTGGGGGCCAGGTTAAAAGCCATTCAATGTGTGGCTTCAGCTGGTGCTGTTCATGCTGCTGCTCTTTTGTCAAATTTATTTGAATGGGTGGGCAATTGTGGACTTGTGGCCATATTTATGCATATGCATATTAAACACTGGCATTATTGGGGTATGTCTGCTATAAAATTTGAGTTGTATGCAATTAGTTTAATGGCTGCTTTTTGCACACTTGAACTGAATTGCAATCGATTTATTATTTAAAGTGCAATGAATCTATGTTTGTTACTCCCATAGATTACATAATGCTTAAGAATCTTTGCAAGTAATTCAAATAGATAAATATTTCATTTTTCGAAAGAATTTTCAAGCAAACACATTCGAGATTATCAATCAGCGCATAATTTAACTTCCTCTTTCTCCTCTCTCCATCACTTAATTGGCATTCATCAAAAATGATATCTAAACTCATTAATTACTGCAATTATGTAATATACAAGCTAATTTTTTTTGTTGGTATTTAAAAGAAAATTGTTTGGCTGGTCTCTTATTGTATTGTTAAATGTTACGCACGCGACCAGCCAACAAATAATGAGACTCGAAGAGAAAGGGAACTACAAAAGATTCAAATTGTGTTGACTAATGGTTTCTTCCAGCGAGCACGTCATAAGCGGGCTGGTTCCTAGCAGTTCCTTCCTTGAACCCGGGTCCCACCCTTAGGACGGGTGCTTTTATCAGCGCCTGAATGGGCACAACGTTGCCTGGTTGGTTTTCTCGTCCAGTCAAGTATAATTAACAAGTTTGTTGTGCAGGTTTTTCCAACCTTTCCAACGTTTGGCGTGTTTTTTTTTTTTTTTGTCAAGGAATTGCAAAAAAGTTGTTGCTCGTTTTATGTAAATGATGTGTAAACACCACGTGCAGCGCCCAACAGCGGGCAGCAGTTCATAATCCGCGTCTGGAATGCAACACTGTGGCAACTCGGGGTAGTCTGAGGAGGGATACAAAATAAAAAACGTGAAAAATATTCAATGCATATTTCGTGGCGCATGTCCATTAGGTGGAGAGTACAACGACACGTGTCGCTGCGATTTATTAGCATAATTTCTCTTCTTCAAGTGTATATATAACTTCTTTTTTTTTTCCTACTCATGCACGGGAAACATTAAAGTGAAATTAATGTTGTCGTTTTTGTGGGGGTCTTTATATTAGTTTCCAAGTGAAACTTGTGACATAAATCCAACCAAAGTTTTGATGAGCTGCAGGTTTCACTTTTCAATTTCCGTGACAACCTCGAGGCAGAGTCATCATCATCAGCAGAAACAGCAGCCGCAGAAGCAGCAGCAACATCCCTTAATTGTTGTACATTTGTCAACCTGGCACACTCGAAGTGTTCCCAAAAACGTTGTCAACACAGTCTGAACTGAGACAGTCTCTCTCAGACCACAGGCACTTTAAATTGTGGAACACACGCAGCCCCAACAAGCTATAAAAGGCATTGGCAACACAGACAGAGCTGTTGACTCGAGTATCTGAGTATCTGCTGGATACGCGTGTCTAGTCTTGTGCTATTTATGTCTCAGTCACTAGCACATTTGTTGCGACTAGTTCGTAAATTAATTGGATTTGCAATTACATGCCACACAAAACGACAGCTGCAACAGTCTGTGAAGCGCATAGATAGTTGCCACTAATCTACGGCTGTTGATGTTGCTGTTGCTGTTGCAATCGCATAGCGTAACGGTTAATCGTCAGAAATTCGCAAAGACGGCTAATAATCAATAGGTGGGAATAGCATTTAATGACAGGCTATTAAAAGCCTTTAGCTATCGGACATGCTTCCATTACAAGTTGATCTTATGAGATTAAGTGCAAAAACCAGTTTTAAAAAAATTAAATAGAAGTAATGCCATCGATTTATAGTAAAACTAACTTGGATGTGTAATTTTTACGAAAAATTCAATTTAATAAATCAATTCTAAAACAATACAGCATAGATTACAAATAATTGTAAGTGCATTTTTGTTTGTTCATCTGCATATTCACTTTTGAAACCGGTATCTGAATAGCGTCCACTTTCGACAAGGAAAGCTTTTCCGTTTTCGAAAATATCTTAAGTTTTCTATTGATGATTGATTTTGATTTTCGAAAAGTTTCTGAAAACACATGGCGTATTGATTAAGTAAGAAATTAATTAAAACTGCTGCTATGAATCATTAAGAAGCGAATGAAATGGGAATATCTAAAACAGACTGAAAAAAAAACAAACTGACTATTGTCCAGATCGCTAACAGTGGACCATGACCAACCTCATGAAGCAGTAGAAATAACTTTCCCAAAATCCAGTTCGGCAGGTATTACAACATTGGAGTCTGCCCCTATCCGAAAAAAAGCTCATTTCATGTGTGTTTAATGTGCGTCGAGGTTGAAAAATGGGCAGTTTGAAAATTTAATTATATGGTCGGGTGAGTCGTAAACATCATTAGGCAAGACAATGCCAATGCCTGTCTGCAGACACAAAACACAAACAAATATTTTTAATAAGCGGATATGTATGTCTCTCTTCTCCACACCCCCACAGCCATGTGCATGCTGTGGTGCACGGGACACGTGCGTTGTGCCCGGCAACATCGATGGACATATTTGAAATTGCAATAAAATGTCTGAGTGAGCATTGAGAGAGTACACGATTAATTTCTAAATGCTACGCACTCGTACTACTATTCGGGTAAATCCGACTGTGCCCATGGAGGGAAAAATCCTCTTGCTTTTTTTTGGGCAATCCTAATTTCCCGTACGAACATGAAAGGCCGCATTGCCATGTGACTAAAGGCCACAAAGCGTATGCGATGCTGTAAGTTACACCCTTTTTTGTGGTACTCAGACGCACCCCTCTGTGCCAAACAGCCCCCTTCGGCCACCCACCCTGCTGCAGCAAGGTGTCCCTTCTGGAATGAGCCGCGTTTTTAATTCCACTTCCGTTTCGCTACTTTTGCAAAGATTTTCGGTGGTTGCTGTTGCCATGGCATGGCATCCAGTGGTTGGGGGTTGATTTTTCCCATCTAACGGTAGTTGTCGGATTTTCCCTGCACAGTTTTAGTTGATTTCCACTGCAATGCAAAACTGAAGCAACTGCATTTAAAATTAAATCCTCAGCGAGCTATTTGTCATTTTTGACAGCTAAACTGTTTTTCGGGACGACGCTGAAACTGCGGCTTATGGTCGCAATATTACGGACCTTTTCCTTTTTATTTTTTTTTTTTAACTGCGCTGTTGATGTTGCGCTTTCTGATACTCCCAGTGCGGCGTGACTGCTGTTAAAGTTGTTGTCGCTGTTGTTGTTGGCAATGCGAGATATTGTTGTTTGTAATTAGAGCTATAAATATTGCTCCTTGGCAATTGGTATGGAAAAAGTTGTTGAACATTTTTGGGAGGCAACTTCGTAAGTTGTATATTTGATATACAACTGTAAGTGGTGTATCAACTAACAATTGATCTTAAAAGTAAGCAAAGTATCCAAGTATCTTTTATATAAAATGTAAGGTGAAAGAACGACAATTTATATGCTTGAACAATTATTCAGTTTCACTTCTTGTATAATACTCAAAATTTTGCAACAACCACCTGCGACTTAAGCTTATCATAACCAAAATATTTCGCCTACAAATCTGCTCACATTAACAGATTTCGCAAGGCAATGGCAACAAAAAGTTGTCCACAA